TTAAGCGTCTGACTCTTGGTCTTGGCTCAGGTCCTGATCTCATGGTTCGATCCATGAGATCAAACCCTACATCGGGCTCTGAGCTGACAGTGTGGAGCCTGCTTCAGATTCTCTCTCTCTGCTCCTCTCCTGCTCGTGTACTCCCCCACCCCCCCCCCCGTCTTTCAAAAAAAAACATTAAAAAAATTTTTTTTTGTAAGTTTGGGGTTAAGAAAAAAAAAAGATATGAGAAATTATGATCCAAGCCCGGCTTTGATCTCATTAAAAACGTTTCTTGGGTCACCTGGGTGGCTCAGTCAGTTAAAGCATCTGTCTTTGCCTCAGGTCATGATCTCGTTGTTTGTGAGTTTGGGCCCCACATCGGGCCCTGTGTTGGAGACCACATCAATAGAGCCTTCTAGAAATAAGCCACCCCTGGATGGAATGAATCGCCTCAAAAAGGAGTGAGCTTCCCTAACCTAGGGGCATGCAAGCAGAAGCTGGGTCACCCTCTATCCAGGGTCCCATTGCTGAAAGAGGTCGCACACCGTGGCCTTCCTGGCTTGACGTTGTGGTTTTTGTTCAACGGGGAACCTGTTGTAAGCTTTCCGCAAATTAAATAAACCCTCACCGCTCCTTTCCCTCTGCTCACTGGTCTGGCTCATAGATCTGAGCTCTCAGGGTGGGTCTGCTAGGCCGCGGCCCCGCCCCCACCACCCTTGCCTCCTGTTGAAGGTCCATTGCCCGAACAGGACTCCCAACTGGCCGGGGCTTGTCGCATGCCTGAGGGGAGGCCCGTGTGAGGGCCTCGCTCTGCTGGGCTAGGAATCCAAGAGTAAACAGATCGAGTTGCCAGTGTCAGCTGGGCCTTCCGTAACAGACGCCACAGCAGTGGAAAACGAGAATGTTCTCTGAGATGACTCAACCTCCCGGCCCCCAGGTGGGGGCAGCCCCGGGCCTCGGCTCTGCCCTGGTGACTGGCTGTGGGCCAAGCCCAAGGGGGTGGCCGTGGGTTTTTAGGGCTGAGGACTGGCGTGCCTGTCAGGGTGAAGGGCACACACATGTGGCCATCTTGGCTCTCTGACAGGTTCCTGCCCTCGGTTTCCTCATCTGTGAAATGGGATCAACACTCTCTCTCCCCGAGGAGCAGGTGTGTGAAGTGAGTCCAAAGCAACGTAGGCAAAGTGCACGTTGGAAGCTTGGGACCACCGCGGCTGGGACCCTGGGAGTGACAAGGGGGCCCCCTCAAGGTCCACCTGCATCGGGGAGAAGAAGTTACCACAGGAAACCAAAGAGGAGTGTCACTGTCAGAAGCTGGTAGATTCCAGGGTCCAGGGGAGGGCCTTGGCCAGCCATGTGGGGTCCAGCCGATCAAGGGCAAGGACGGGAGGGCGTGACGGAAGAGGCTGCGGAGTGGCTGGGGGAGGTCATTGCTGAGCTGAGCAGCACCGTCCTGGCCGGTGGCAATAGCCAGAGGGTTGGCGTGACCGGCTGGGGGAGGGGAGGGGAGGGGAGGGAAGAAGGTGGTGGCCCGAGGAGGAGATGAGGATCAGGGAGGCTTTTTTTAGGATGTTGGAAACTTGAGCCTGTTGGTCGTTAAGACCAGGAAGCCCAGAATGAGATGGAGTCCCGAGAGGGAGGCGCCTGTGGGAGGGGAGAAAGGGAGAGAAGGTTGCCTTGGGACTGGTTTTCTCTGGCCAGAGACAAGGCATAAGATGGGTGAGAAAACCGAAATGCTTTGAGAGGGGACGCTCCCCAGCTGGCCTGAATCTTAGGAAATTGGGGGTGCAGCTTGGGGTGCGGAGGGGGAAGGAGGGCCGAGCTGATCCCGAGAGGGGGGATGGGTAGGAGCCAGGCCCTGGAGAGGGGGCATTTCCGGCTGGAGGCCATTGCTGAGAAGGACGGTGCTGGACAGGGGTCATCTAAGGATGGGGTCAGCCAAGGAGGCCGCCCAGGACACCCTGCCCCAGAGCCAGCCGCACACGGCACAGCATCGGAGCGGCCACAGGAGCGCTGGGGTGACCCAGCAGCCGGGGGCACTCGTGGAGTCGCCAGGCAACAAGACAGCAACCCCAGGCACTGCCCCTGCTTGGCTGTAAAGTCCTGCCATAGCAAGCCAGCTAGGGACTCTTGTTTCTAATTAACAGTGTCAGGGACTTGGGGAGGGGGGTGGCCAGGACTACGATTGCTTCGGCGTCCGGTATTTTGGTTCTTGTTTTCAGCATCCTGGCGCAAAGCCGTTTGCATCCTTGGAAGGGCAGGTGGGCAGGCTGTGTGTGTGTGTGTGTGTGTGTGTGTGTGTGTGTGTGTGTGTGTGTCCTCAGCGGCTGTGTGAGGGTGCCGACCTCTCACCCTGGCCCCGGCGATCAGGGGCGGGGTGGGGGGACCCCTCTTGATGGCTGGAGAGACGGACTCAGGGGCCGTGGAAGTGTCTAAGGCCACAGTGCCGATGCCGTCACTGGGACTCGAACCCAGGCCCCCTGACTCCAAAAGCAGTGCTCTTTGCCAAGCGTGAGCTCGTGGCCCACAGCACCATCGGAGGGTCACACAGAGCCTGGACCGTGGGGACCGAGTTGGGGAGTGAAGCTCTCTCCGTGGAGCCAAGGTGAACCCCCAAATCACTGGCCAGCCACGGCCCAAGTGGATGAACTGGACCGGGGAAGGGGGGTGCTGTAGTCCTGGGGCCAGTCCTGTCCATCCCGTCCTGGGGCTCTTGTGGATTCTGGCGCCTGGACCCGGCTCCGGCCACCTCTTCCGGGTGGCTCTCGAGCTGCGTTCCCACACGGTCTGCCTTCAGGCCATGCCTGCGGCCCCTCACATTCGCCCCAGAGGACCTCAGCCCAAGCATGTCCCTGTGACCCTCCGTGCGTCCTTGCAAGCCCACCTTAATCACTTACCTGACCGACTCGCGTTAGAAGGTGCAAAGCCAGAGCAAAAGAAAGGTCTGGACAATAACCTGTGTTTGACCAGAGGCCCCCCCACCCCCTCCACCCCCAGGTAATCCACACCCTTCACCCCCTGGCTTCTTTTTTTATGTAGTTAGGTTGCAACTACACTTGGTCTTAAAGGTGTTTTGGTTTGGTTTTTAATTTTTACACGATAGCTCCTAATTCCGCCAAAACATACGACGCTGTGCATGTCGTACGGCTGCTTCCTTTTCCTTCTGCTGTCGTACGGCTGAGACGCATTCATATTCTTGCAAGTCACTGTGGACCGTTCATTTTGATGGCCGGGTAATCGTCTTCTGTCATTGTCCTTCTCCTCGCCCAGTGATGGGCTTCTGGGTTGTAGCCAGGTTTTTGTTCCTGAGAACAGGCCGTTAGGAATTTTCCGGCCGGTGCCTCCCGTGACGTGTGTGTTTCAGAGGGTGGGCACCTCCGAGGGGAAGAGCTGCGTCACAGAGATGATGCTGCGGGGCCACACCTGCCTCCCAGCTGTCCCGCCTCAGAGACCAGCATAGTGGACCCGAGGCAGTAACAGCCTTAACCTAACTGAGCGTCAGTTTTCCTGCCGGAGAAGTGGGGACAAGTAGTTATGCCACACGTGCATTCAGTTGGCGCCACTGATGCCCAGACTGTGGCACATCCTGTGCCAGGCGCGGGGGGACCTGGGTAAGAAAGGCTCGGCCCACCGCCCTGATGGGGACAGGGAACAGATGGATGGCTGAGCAAAGTCAGATCTGGAAGTGAATGATCTCTGACATTGTCATCACGGGGGAGGTGGTGGACTGGGCCTCTGACCTGCCAAGGGGTGTTGGGCTGGGCTTTTCGGCTGGGGCCCCTTTGTGCGACTGACCCTTCTCGGCGAGGGTTGCGGTGGGGGCCACAAGGAAGGGGGAGATCTGGAATCCGGCAGAGATCACTTAACACCAGAGAAGCCACGAGCCTGTACACAGAAGCCGTTGTCCGATCCGCGAGGCCTGCGCACTCCCCGAGAATGCTGCTGGGGGAGGGGGGGTCCAGTTCTGCCCGGGGTCCCCGGGCCAGCTCCTTGACTCAAGGCATCGCGTGACCACACGTGCTTAAGCAGGATCTTTTTTTTTTTAATGTTTATTTATTTATGTATTTTGAGAGAGAGAGAGAGAAAGAAAGAGAATCCCAAGCAGGCTCCACGCTGTTAGCACAGAACGGGGCTTGAACTCACACTCACGAACCGTGAGATCATGACCTGAGTTGAAATCAAGAGTCAGCACTTAACTGAGCCACCAGGGCGCCCCATGCAGGGTCTTGAGCACTGCTTTGTGTGCTTAGGGCCTCCTTAAATCCTACCCTACTCTGCAAGGGAGTTATTTCCTCTTTCAGAGATAAGAAAGCCGCTCCAACCTTGTCTTGGGTGGGTGGCTGTAAAGCCAAGGTCCATACTTAGGCCTTTTCCATCTCAGATCCCCCAAGGAAGAAAGAGAACCACCAGTCAGCTCAGATATGCTCCGCGCTTGGGTATGTGTTCATGAAGCAAGAGGCTGGACTTCACCCAGACTGTGTTTCCACCCTGGCACAACCTGTTCCATCCTGCCGGGCTGCCCCAGGCCATTGGGACATGCGTAAGGAAACAATAAGGAAGCCACTCTCGGAAGCTTGTGGCCTTGGCCCTCAGGGCAGGGCTTGGCCAGCCCTTTGCCCCAGGTTTCTCACCTTCCCCTGATGTCCCTGGAAGAAAGAAGTGAGGGGTCAGTGGAGGCCGGAGTCAGAGGTGAGGACAGTCAGTCTGCTGACCTCCCTTCTGGTGCCTCTGGCCAGAGCGCTGGCTGTGGAAGACCACCGTTCCCTGCCATGGCCTTGTGTTTTTCACCGACCTTATCTCCTCAGCTTGTGGAATCTTGTTTCCTGGCCGTATAGGGACCCACACCCACCGCCGCCAGCCTGGTCCAGCCCCCCCTACCCCGCCCCCCCCCCCCCC